GAGGACGTTTTTTCTCTAACATGTAAGATGACAGGAGGATGACCTCTTGAGCATTAGTGCATCAACTGAGAGCTTTCAATAACTAAAAATTCTCACTCTTTCAATAACTAAAAATTCTCACTCTTTCAATAACTAAAAATTCTCACTCTTGTTCTAATTTTCACTAAATATTGTTCATTTTCCTAGATGATCTTTGCATCACTTTTTGTCAATAACCTTCTTGTGGACAGAATACTCTTAGATTTAAAGTCTAAATCCTAGTTTCTAGGAGTGGACTGGGACCAATTCAGCTCTAAATGTTAAGCCAGACTTCCAATTAAGAAGTAGAATACCAGAGAAGGGGATTATTACAACCATTTTTAGATTTACTGAACATTTTTAAATGCCTCTCTCTACATATTCTAAGCCCTGTAGAAGGCAAAAATGATGAAAAATAATACATGGTATCTATACATACCTATATACATATATAAAATACCTGAAAATGACCTGAAAATTTAATAACAATACATGACAACTTCTCACTGGGTCTCAGATGAGTATTATTAACAGAAACAAATGTCACAGGAGTTCAGAAGAAAAGCTTCAAGAAGGATAAAACACTTAGCTCGGCTTTAAGAAAAGGAAAAGGGGCCAGAGATGAAGCTCAGCAGTAGATCACTGGTCTGGCACATGCAAGGCCTGGGGTCCATCCACAGCACCATGAAAAATAAAAAGGGCAAAGATGAATAAATCTTGAAGGACAAAATAGATAGTCCAGGACATTTTATCTATGTGAATGTTGAAGAAAGCCTTGCAAAAACAAAATGTTCATCTTAAAATATGAAATGAACTTGTATGAAAAGGATAAGACCTACGGCATGGAAGACCTGGACTACCAAACTAAAGGGTGTGGACTTTACTTGAAGTTGAGAGCACTGAAAATATAGGCATGTCAGCAATGTTACTGTCAAAAAAGGATTGAAAACCATAGTGTTTGTCTGAGTCAGTATAATTTTCTCAGGTTTTTTCCTTGAACATGTATCTCTTCTTCTCAAAGATGGATCATCACTTCCTTGTGCAACTTTAGATAAAACTCATTCTGCCTGAAAGTATTCCTAAAAATGACTAAAAATGTAAACACAACTGTCCTTTAAATAGTCAAAAATGATGGAATCTGTTTCATACAGCTGACAATTAAATAGTATAATGTTGTGCTTTCAAGAAATACTTCAAACCCCAGTAGATTTGTTAATTCTACTTGCCAGGAAAACTGGTTGGTGTATTGAAAAATGTTTGAAGTTAAGTTGAGATTTACTCATGAGTACCTCTTGAGAATTCCTTTTTAAGAAGCTCCATAATGAAAGATGAATGCTCAGTAATTTTAAGTCTAAAGAATATGAAATTAATTCAAAGTCCAATAGAAAATGTAAAGTTCAGGACAGTATTGCAAGATTTACTGGCCAAATTTTACTTTTGTTTGTAAATTTAATATATGTATAAATACCTATATTGAAACTCTAAGCCTTACACAGTTTGTCTTTTCAGCTCACATTATTAAAAAGATGAGAGAAGATATTATCTTTAAATAGATATAAGGTTGAAGCTGTAGCTCAGTGGCAGAGTCCTTGCATAAGCATTCTTGAGGACCAAAATTTATCCCAAGCAACACACCAAAATACACACACATACACATACCTACACACAAGACATACACACACATTCATTCATTTGGGCTGGAAATTCATAAAATGAATCACAAAATACACCAGAGACTTGCAGACATGTAAAGTCCAATCCACGAGACAGATCCATCTTCTACATTAAATAATTTGTAAGATTTTTATACAACCTTAATACCAAAACTGTGAGTCTAATAAAATGGATCTGCCTTACCATCAACGCCAGTATAAAAAGGAAAACCTTGTATTTCATAGAGATTTCAATTTTGAAAGCACTTTCATATGCATTATTTCATTTGGACCTCACAAGTATCCTGCAGAAAAAGAAATATTTTTCCTTTCTAACCAGCTGAAACTGAGGAGATATTTTGTTTGCTTATGGCAGTGGGGATTGAACCAAGATCTTTACATTGAGCTACATCATAGTTTCTTTTAATTTTTACTCTAAGACAGGGTTTCAGTCACTAAACTGGCCAGGCTGGGCCCAAACTTGCAGTCTTCCAACTTCAGCCTCCATATGGGATTACAGGTATGTGTCCTCATGCCCAGCCCAGAGAAGTAAATTTATGTAAATTTTTTTCACAGGCCTTCCCTAAAAGTCACAAAAGTACTCTGAAGACTGCATTTGAAACTATCAATGGAAAATAAAAAATGATCGTAAAAACAATTTGAAAGCATACTGTATACCTAAAATGTACCAATAAACTCAATGAGGAAAAAAAAAAGAATTTGAAAACATTCAGTTATCAGAAATTAATTTGAACCATAAAATTATATAGTTTTGGATATATAACATAAAGGAATGCTCCATCTTAAGTCATTTTTATAGAAAACACGTCTTGCACAAACACAAAGTTCACAAGCCCCCAAAAACGTATATATCCAAATCAAAACTAACAAAAACTACTCAGAACAATCAAAAATTCATCTTAACTATATAACACATTTTCTGTGCTATGTCTAGTGTGAATTAGTTCTTTATCAAGAGTTTAGAGGGCCAGGAATTTGGCTCAGTGGTTCCACCACCTGCCTTGCAAGTGCAAGGGCCCAAGTTTGATCCCCGGTACCACCACCCCCCCAAAAAAAAAGAAGAGTTTACACACACTATGGATAGAAACAGCAGAGAATATCCTATATAAAAGTTTAATCTTGTACTGTATCTCTAGTTGTCCAAGAGTAACTCCCAGATTTTATTACAAATATACCCTGAGGGTTTTCTTGACTTTGAATGTTGGTATTACACTGCCAATTCAGAAAATATAACCAAGTTTTATTATTGCAGTAGTTCACATGCAAAACTCACATTTTGTGACGCCACTCATTTGTTTGAATACAGTTTGACAAAGCCTATCTGACTTACCATTTTTAAAATTCTCTCATACCATATAGGAAAGCAAGTTTCTAATATAGAAAAAAAGCCACTGGGGTGACAGGTTCCATGACAGTCAGTGTGATAGTTAACTGATGGTGTCAACTTGAGTAAGGAACTACATTGGCTCAGTGTAGTTCTGGGTGTGGAAGACCAGCCCCACATAGGATTATAATGTTATAAAAGGGAAACAAAGAAGGAAGGGTTGCTTCTTTCTTCAGAGGAGCTCCAGTCTTGCCCTTCACCTTAGATATCATCTCCTGGCTTCCAGTGCAGACCCTTTGGCTTTCCAATACAGACTTCATGGGACAGACACATCAAGCTCCACGCCTTGAACTAGATCCTTTGGATCTCCAGTGCACAGACAGCCTTTTTACCCTCTTCCTCATCTGGCGGCAGCCACTGTAAGCCAATCTTGTATATTCTTACATATTTGTGTATCTTGCATTGAATCTGTTTCTCTAGTAAACACTGATTGATATTGATCAAACAGAGCACACCAAGGTACCTGCATCCTGATGTGTACTGTCTTCCTAACTTTATCTCCACAGCCCTTCCTAATCCTGAGATCTCCCCTCTATCACGCAAAAACAGTGCTGCCTAGACTTCAGTTTACAATTCTGTGATTACAGTATAGGTCTAGCCTCTGTTGTAGATATTCTAAGGTTTCTGCTCTCACAAAATTTTTATGGCAATGAGAAAGACAAACAAGGAAGCAAACTTATATTGCATACATATTAATAGTATTGAGAAATATTAAACCAAGGTAAGAAGACAAAAGTAGCCAGGTATGGTGGTACACACCTGGAATATCAGCTGCTAGGAAGGCTGAGGCAGGACTGCCAAGTTTGGGGTTAGCCTGGGCAACTTAACAAGACTCTGTTTCAAAATAAAAATAAAAGGACAGGATATATAGTTCAATGCTTGCTGTATTCAAACTCCAGTGCTGGGGGTTGGGGGGGGACAAGCAAAACTATGATGAAAGGGATTATTTTTGGTGGAGTGCACAAGAAAAACCACTATTGGGACATGGCCTGTGAAGAAAATATAAAGCTCCATGGAAAATGGTCTAGACAGAAAGAACATCTAGTGCACCAGTTCTTAAAATGAGACTGAGCATGGAATGCATCAGCAAGAAAGGTGAACAAGAGAGAACCTAGTAAGAGACGAGCTTGGAGTTAAGCAGTGATCTGATTAAGCAGGGCCTCACAGGAGTGTGAGCTTTACTTTATGGACAATAGAAAGCCACTACAGGGTTACCAGCACCGATTTAGTTTAGGAAGGTCACAATAACTGTAGAGATTGTAGAAGGAAAAAAAAAAAACTAATGAAAAAACTAGCACACATTTCTTTAATACTTGAGTTTTTAGACCCAAAATAGGTAGCAATATAATACTCCCAAAATGTAATTTATTCTTTAAGAATGAAACTATGAAGAATCTAAATAGAATCTAAATGAAAACATGATGAGATGTCCATAAATATTACTCAAGACACTGATAGTGGATATGAAACTGAAGACCTTTAGAAAGATCCCAAAATTTGATTTTAAGATAACTAAAGTATAAACTCAAAGAAGTATAACAGCATTGCAAACAAACATTTTAAGAAATCAAGTTTATCACATAATGGTATATTAGAAAAATGAGTAAAAATAAAAATGCTATAGCTTAGAGTTTGCAAAGAATCATTCCACTGGTAAACTTTAATTTTTTGGTTTGTAATTAGTTGGTAATGCTAAGTAGTAAGACAACTTCCCATGAAAATTCAGATTTCTTTCTTTATTTGAAAATCAGCAGGTCTAGTATAGTACCTTTTATTGTAACTAAGAAAAAACCTACTTACTGTTTTAAAATGTTAGAACCTTATCTAAAATAACTAAATTCTTTAAGAATTTTTGTTTTCCTTTTTTTGTAGTATGGGAGATTGAACCCAGGCCTTCACACTGAGCTACATTCCCAGCCCTTTTCTAGAAAAAAAACTTTTGAGATAGGGTCTCACTAAGTCATAAAACTAAGTTTTATGTTGCTTTTTAAACACAATCTCTCTGGCTCAAATCATCAGTGGTACTGCATGACATGCACATACAGCTTGTACCATCCCGTGGGACAGTCATGCATGTGCCACCGCTGGTACAGAGCCACCTAGTACCGAGACATGCTATTTACAGTCGCATCATAAATGTGCTAAAAAAGAAAAAACATTTATCCTCAAGCCAACATAAATATATTAAATGGGCATTTATAAGGAAACAAAGTGGTATGAACCAGTATTTGCTATAAAGAGTTTGGAGTCTAGTAAAATAGTACAGTGGATCTTTGACTTAACAAACTCAACTGGTTCCTGAGGGCTACTTGTAACTTAAGTTGGTTCTAAGTCAGTACAGCTGAGATCCTGATGTTTACCTGAGTACATTCTACAGATAACAAGAGGCAGATGAATCTTACATTAATCAACCCAAGCTGTTTATCAGGACAGTCGTAACCTGAGGGTTCACTGTTACAATATTGTGATCACATCTCCTACAGATCCTATTAAACATTTATTCTACAACCAATCCAAAAGGCAAATACTTATTCCAAGATCTGAGGTGTTCAATGTACCAGATTCCAATAGGCTTCCTTGTACCTCCACATCTTTGTGCTTTGAGAGCAACATTCCTTACAACTTCACAAGCCCTACAAAGGAAGGACAGCAGGCTCTTTAATCCAGGTGTGAACTGAGGGTTATATAAAAATGTGCTATTCAGCAAAAGACAGTATACTAAGGTCTAAGTATCGTTACGAATGGGAAATGAGAAGCAAATCAAAACCTTTCAGAAGGAATCAGTTAGTTCACATAAAATCCACAATAAAAATGCTTTAAAGCTATCACATCCTTTACTTTCCTAGGCCATCTGACAAATTAGATATTAGGTCTCCTTTAAGTTCTTTTCTGATTAGTATTTCCTGGACACCCTATCACTGTGCGCAGCAATTATAAACAAGAGACAGTTCCATCCTACCAGTCTACTGAAGTGACCGTTATCTCAAAGACCTGAGACTATGCCATGAGGACTATGATCCGCCAAGCTGTTCCTTTTCCTTATAAATACTATTAGAAACGTAATTTCAATACACCAGAAAGCAAGAAGCCAACATTGTGAGTCAAATACTTACATGTAAAAATATATCTTTAAATGCAAAGGAAAAAGAAAATATAATCTTTAATATATATATTCGTATATATTCATGCCAGATTTCTGAGAGAACCTTAATAGAACACGTTTTTTCATAAACATGGGCTTGGCTTCTATTTTAACTTTTCAAAATTAAATATATGTTCCCCCAATGGCACATGGTTTGACTTGGTAAATAACTGTACATCAAATAAAACTGCACTGAATTAAATTTTAGTAAAAAATGGGAGAATTAAAATGCAAGCAAGATAAACCAGTACACAGATACATGCTAAATTACTAGCTAAATATTTTTGCAATTATATTCTTCTACTATTTATTTCACTTATGTATAATTAAATTTTATACATGTTTGTTTACTACTATCCATCTATCATTTTGAGAATTAAGTGGATAACAGAACAGAAAGTGTGCATACATGCACATGTGTGTGTTTTTACCTTTGTGTTTCAAAAAAGTTGTTCTTAGTTGTATTTAGCCGCCATCTAGAGTTAAAAGGGATCCATTTCTTTTCATTCTGCTACTCCTCTTCAAAATTTTAGGCAAATAAACCAACACATTTAACCCTTACTTATATATAAATACTCCAGACAAAACTATAAAATACTTCATTTGATTGATTTTTCAAATTATAGCAAACTTTCTCACCTGCTATGGCTTCTAATTTGTATATTTTTCAGCGTCCAACCGAAGTGCACCCACATAAAAAGATACTCAGGAATTATTTCATTTGTTACTTCTGGAAAATACAATCATGAAAATAGCTCAATCCCAATGTATCCTTAGCTAAGTGAACTTTTTTATTCCTTTATATTAAAATTTGCATTCATATCCAGATATAAGAATATGTAAGAATAAACTCTCAATACATCTACTCAGCTTTCAGTTTAGGAAAGTCATTGCTGAAAAAGCAATAAAAAGGAGGTACTTATTTCACAGAACTAGAGAAAACAATCCAAAACTTCATTTGGAACCAGGAGAAACCTAGAAAATAGAAAAAGCAATTCTAGGCAACAGAGACATGGCAGGGGGTATCATAATCCCTAACTTGAAACTATACTACAAAGCCACTGTGATTAAAAAATAATAATAATAAAAAAAAATAAGAGCCAGGCGTGGTGGTGCATGCCTATAATCCAGGAGGATCACTGTGAGTTGGAGACCAGCCTTGTCTACACAGTGAATTCCAGGTCAGTCTCAGCCACATAGTGAGATCCTGTCACAAAAAACCAAAACAAACAAACAAACAAAAAAACATGGTACTATCAAAGAAACAGATCTGAGGATCAGTGGAATAGATTGGAAGATACAGACACAACTCAGCTTTGACAAAGAAGCCAACCATTCTCAGTGGAGGAAAGATAGCCTCTTTAATAAACTGTGTCGGAAAAATTTGCTTTCAACCTGCCAAAGATTAAAACTAGACCCTTATCTTTCACCATGCACTAAACTAAAATCCAAGTGGATTACAGATTTTAATATTAAAACAGAAACACTAAACTTGCTGGAAGATAAGTTAGGCAGAACTCTCAAAGACACTGGCATACAAAAAGACTTTATGAACAAATCTTCAATAGCACAGGAACTAGCACAAAGAATCAACTGGGATCTCATCTTATTATTAAAAAGCTTTTGCATGGCAAGAGAAACTACCAACAGAGCTAAGAGACAACCTACAGTGTGGGAAAAAATGTTTACCAGCTGTTTCTCAGACAAAGGTCTAATATCTAGAATATATAAAAAACTCAAAAAAATCAGAACACCCCCCCCCGACAAATATAAAGACCTGATTCAAAAATGGGCATCTGAAATGAACAGACACTTCTCAGACAAACAAGCAAAAGCAGAAAACAAATACATGAAAAAATGTTCAAAATCACTGGTCATTTGAGAGATGCAAATGAAAACAACACTGAGATTCTATCTCACTCCTGAAAGAATATCTGCTATCAAGAAATCAACCAATAACAAATGCTGGTGGGGTCGTGGGAAGAAAGGAACCCTTCTTCATTGTTGGTGGGAGTGCAGACTGGTGCACCCACTGTGGAAATCAATATGGAAATACTTTAAACAACTAGGATTAAAAGTCCCTTTTGAACCAGCTATTCCCCTACTGGGTTTACCACAGCGATATACGTGCACCCGTGTTTATTGCAGCACAACTTGCAATACCTAAAACTTGGAAACAGCCCAACTGCCCATCAACTGGAGAGTAGATAAAGAAGATGTGGTTTTCTATAAAATGGAGTACTACTCAACCATAAAGAATGAGAAACTGGAATCATTCATAGGAAAATAGATGCATATTGAGGACATATTCTTAATTGAAATAAATAAGAGACACATGTGTAAATACCAAACAGTTTCTCTGGTGTGAAAAACTAAAAGTGTAAATAAGATCTTAACTGTATAACTGATAATGTGAAATAGGAAGAAAAGGGCTAAAGGAGTAAGGGAAGGGGAAAGGGTAGGGAAAAGGAAGGAAGAGAAAAGAAAAAATATGAGAAAAGGAAAAAATTAAAACAAAGTCTTTGTAAATAGGGAAGGGTGGAGGGGTAGAGGCAGGGCAGGGGTATGGGAAAAAATAAGGACCAAGATACATCATGTAAAGATACAAATTCCCACTGATGAATGTAACTGTACACTGTATACCTTAAAAGTACCAATTTAAAAAATGAAAAAAAGGAGATACTTAAGAAATAATTAAAAGTGTTCTTGAAAACAGGACTTGAAATCCTATAAAAAGAAGCAATGTATTCTTTACATGAAGTTCTAAAATTAGATAATACATTTTCTTCATGCTGTTCTTATATAAATGAAAGACAAAGGTGTTGTTTCGTATAAAAACTACCTCCAAATGATTTAAACTACAACAGCTTTCTCTGACAATATTTTTACACATCATTAGATACTAAAACAAAGAAGTTAAAATTCAGGAAAACTGCAACTCCTTTACATTTTTAAAAAATTTATTATTGGTTCACCAGGCATCAAACTTGGGCATTACTCTTGCGAGGCAGATGGTAGCACCACTGAGCTAAATCCCCAGACCGAACTCTTTTACTTTTAAAGGAAATTACATCAAAGTTTTCAAGCGGACTCATATTACAAACAAAACAATGAAAAACTGGATAGCACAAAGAACCCTGAATGTTTCTATTAAACTCAAGTGCACAGCACTATAAAAAGATGGGACTGGCAAGATACAATGCTTTCCAAGTAGTCAAGTATAATTTCAGGTTAACTGCTTGCTCAATAGTGGATTAATGGTAAAGTTGTTACAGGATTATAAGAGCAAATGGAGAGGTGGAGACATAGAGAAAATAAAGACACAGACAGGAGGGCCATGAATGAGAAAATGCCTACTTGAGAAAATCCTGGATTAAACAGTTATAAACTAGAGAATTTATGGGAGAGAGGGCTTTATAAATTATACAGTGTAAGGCAAAAGGACTGTGTGAACTTTAAACTACTGAAATCTGGAAAGTACACAAAAATATATTCACCATGCATAAAACACACAAATGATTTCCTAAAAATTACCATATATGATTTTAATATAAAATTCTAAGGTTTTCCTAACTGAAGTTTAAGATTTTTCATTTACTTTCCCATGGAAGGAAAAGGTAAATGCAAATTCTCATTTTAAACTTCTGAAGTAAATGTAGGTTTTTTTGTGGGGGAGAGTTGGTTTTGGCTTTTTGGTACTGGGGATGGAACTCAGGACCTTGTACTTGCCTCTGTGCTAAATCCTCAGCCCTGAACTGAATGCAGCTTTGTCAGGAAGACTTTGTTAACCAAATGTCTCTACACATACAAAACTGTGATGATTTCTTTATTGCAGCATTTTATTTGGTTCACTAACAAAAGCTCCTAAAGTGGCGTCTCATTTATAAAGGCTGTGGTCAAAATTACCTAGTCCAATTGTTTTAAGTTACTTTCTCCTTGCTGGGCCAAATACCCATCACCCAAAAGTTACAAGAGGAGAGGTTCATTCCGGCTTACTGTTAGTGGAGGATGCAGTCAGTCCACAGTCGGCTGGTTCCAAGGCAGGGTAGCAAGGAAGAGCAGGAGGGCAGAAGCAAAACAGTTCATGATCTGAAGGCAAGAAGTAGAGAGTAATGAGCGGACGAGGGGGGCAGATATACCCGTTCAGGCCACACCCCCTGTGACCCACCAGGCTTCATCTCCCAACGTCACACCCAGGGAGAAACTCCAAGTGGAATGACCCAGTATCACATACTCATGATCCAGTCACCTCCCCAAAACCCCACTTTAGGAGCACATGAGGTTTTGGGAGGACATGGAGATACAAACCACACCAGCAATTTAGAGCATTTTAGATATATTTTGAGTGCAGAATATTGTCCTATAGTTAGAATACAAATATGGAAAAAGTAAAATTGTAATGATTTTATTTCAAAGGGAAGAAAACTGACATACAGGTAACTAGATCGGCTTTACTACATTCTGGGTTTAGGTCTCCTTTCTAATTGGTACATTTTAGATATACACGATAACACTCATAAGGAGCACCTGTACATAAATCTTGCTTTCCCTCCCCCGATTCTCCTTCCCTCCCTAACTCCGTCTTCCCCTCATTTACTAAAACTTTGTTTTTCCTTCTATTCTTATTTCTCCTCCCTTCTTTTATTACCCCCACCACTACCACCTTGTTCCTCCTCTCATATAAACATTTTGTTCCTATTTCTCAGTATCTATTATACATTTTTGGTCCTTATTTACACTTTGTTTCTCATACCAAAGAAACAATGTGATATTTGAGCATGTGTGCCTGATTTATTTCACTTCGGAGTATGGTTTCAAGGTGCATCCGTTTAGCTAGAAACATCTCGAGATTATCCTTCTTTATGGGACAGTACTCCTCCATTGCATATAAGAACCACATCTTTATCCATTCATAGGTTGATGGGCATCTGGGCTGTTTCAAGATTTAGCGATTACAAGCTGCCACCATAAACTAGGATGTTAGCGATTACAAGCTGCCACCATAAACTAGGATGTGCACAGAACACTGCAGTATGTTTTAATGCTTTTGGGAAGATACCCAGAAAAGGGGTAGCTGGGTCAAATGGAACCTCTAATCCCAGTTTTTTTTTTAGGAATCTCCATACTGATTTCAACAGGGGTTGCACCAGCCTACACTCCCACCAACAATGGAGAAGGGTTCCCCTTTCCCTACTTTCCTGTGAGCAGTAGGGAAACAATGGTTTGATTTCTTGATAAGAGATATTCTTTCTGGTGTCAGATGGAATCTCAGTGTTGTTTTAATTTGCATCTCTAGGATGACCATTGATGATGAACATTTTTAATATATTTATTTGCTAGTTCTACTTTTTCATCTAAGCAGTATCTATTGCTTTCATATGTCCATTTTTGGATTGGGTCTTTAAATTTAGGGAAGTGTGATTTTTTAAAATTCTTTATATATTCCAGATAATGGTCCTTTGTCTGAGGAACAGATGGCTAAAAATTTTTCCCACACTATGGGTTGGTGGTTTAATTTGCTGTGGTGCAAAAGTTTTTTTTTTTTTTTTTTTATTTTTCTGTACCGGGGATCAAACTTGGCTCCTTGCATTTGTGAGGCAGGCAAAAGATTGTTAATGAGATCCCAGGACCAGGGATTTAGCTCAGTGGTGATGTGCCTACTTCACAAGCGCAAGGTCCGAGTTTGTTCCCAGTACCCACTCCCCCCCACCCTACCCCACCCCCGCCACCAGGCCAAAAATAAGATGAGATCCCAGTTACTGATTCTTTGTGATATATCCTGGGCAATCAGGTGTCTGTTCATAAAGTATTTGTCTACATCAATGTCTTCAGGAGTTCTACTTAGTCTATTTTCCAGCAGATTTAGCATTTTTGTTTGAATATTTAAATCTTTGAGCCATTTCAATTTTCTTTAGAGCATAGTGTAAGATATAGATACTAAGAAACCCAGAAACATTACTGGAAACCTCTGTAGTAGGCTCCAGGCTCCTGCCCAATGTACAAAGCAAGCCTGAGGAAAAAAACTAAAAGACAGAACTAAGACAGAAAAGGGGGAGCAAGGAGGGCCAATGCTGCTTAATTAGTAAAGGCACTGGTCCTTCCAAGCCACTCATTTTCATTAATAATCACCTGGGGTAAAGGCAAGGTGGGAATACGTGTGAGGACCAGTAGTCCTGCACTTTCCATGGAAACTAATGGAAGCAAGGCTCCTAAAGGACAAAACATTCTTGAATTAGGAAGAGAACAGGCAAAACATATGCCTGTGATTAGAACATTGTCCTTCTAGTTAAGGTTTAGTTGTGGGAACAGAATTGGGCGCAAGTTACTCTAACCGCAGCACATAGGCTTCAGCTGGAATAACTTCAATAAAAAAGGCAATTGAAGGTTAACTCTTTACAGTTTACACTGCTTATAGCCTGCTTGGGGATAATCAATATTGCAGTCCCCTGCATATGGGTCGAGATTTAATCTCCAGCACTCCACAAAATTCCTGAATCAGGAAAAAAAAACAAAACACAAAACACCATTTCAATCATGAGTTCTTTTAGTAGCTGCATACCAAGAACAAACTGAAAGGGGAGTCTATAAAAATGGCTTCTCTATAAACTAACGTATTTCACTGTTAGCATCTTGAAATATGAAAACAACAAAGATTCTGCAACTCTTCTAATCATTTCTCACTCTAAATCTTCTCATTCCTTTTTCATCCCATGCCTTCCTTTTCTATTCTTATTTCTAGTTCTTTACTGACTAGACCTTCCTCAGTAATTCCTTTTCATTCTTACTGTAAGGCCTGTACTCTCAAATGCACCAGCAGGAAAAATGAAGTCTTCAAAATTAGGGAAAATAAGAAGAAAACACTCTTCCCAGCACTTCTATTCAAACTAGACTCACTTCAGACAGGCACAATTTCTCTATACAATATTTCCTTTATGTAGCCCACCCACACCACACCTTCTGCCACATCTAACCTCAGAAACAGATTTCCAAGTCCCACCATTTTTTAGAGTCTACCTCAGTATTCCAAACTGCTAGACTATTTCGGCTCTCTCTTGTTATTATTCTTATCTAATGTACCCCCAAGGACCTCATGTGCTCAAACCCAAGGGCTTTTGGAAGGTGAGTGGATTATGGGGGCTTATAGGTGACATACTGTTAGGAGGCAGGGTTTGATCAGAAGAGGCAAGTCATTGGAGGCATGGCCTGGAAGGGTTTCTCTATCTCCCACAACTCCTCCCTTAACTGTCTGTGCTTCCTGGCCATCACGTAAACAGCTTCTCTTCTGCTATGCTCACTCCTCCATCAGGCTGCCCTGCCTTGGAGCCAGCTGAATATGGACTCAAACCTCTCTCTAGAACAAAAATAATAAACATTTTCTCCTTTCAGTTGTGGGTGCCAGGTATTTTGCCTCAACAAGAAAGAAAGTAACCAAGTCATGTGCCTTCTCTAGCATCCTTATAGTCTGTAAGCACTATTTTGTTACTCTCAATGTTGCTCCCTGACTTCCTCAGCCTCATGCTTCCAAAACAATGTACTGATTCACCCTAGGCCCAAAAGTAATACGCCCAGTGACCATCACTGAAGCTTCCAAACTTGCCTGCATCCTATGACCATGACAAAAAAAAATTTCAAATAACCTTATATCCATGAAATAATAGCAGAAACTATCTCTTTTTTGGACTTCTTGTCCCATCAGGAAAAAAAAAATTGCATTGTTTATTGGTGAGAAAAAATCCTAACATTAATGGGTTGCAGTGTATTTACCAGCAGTGTGTTCTTCAGTCAGTCATTTCTCTAAGAAGTTTCTCAGCTATAAAAATGGAAATAGTAATACTTCAGCACCCTTACACTAGGGACATAAGAACCAGATGAGGTCACTTCTGCCAAGTGCCTGTATAGAATGAGCATTCAGTAGTTATCAGCCATTTTATGTTATCAATCACCATCCTCTAGCTTCTGTGCCTGTATCTTAAGAGTTCATCCAGATTCTGGGCTCTTAAGAGCAGATTACATCTTACAAGTATTTAATACATACATCTTTATAGAACATCTTACTGAAAGACACAATGCCTTCAAAACAATGAGGCTGAGGGAATAAGAGTAAGCAGGCACTGACTTCAGGAGTTAGGAAATGCTAATTTACTTCATACACCATGGGCCAAGTGTTATGTAGTAGGTTGTAGTAATTTAAATGGTAGACACTGAGCATCTCATTCCATAATGCACCCCAATTAACCTTTTAAAAATAAATGGCTGCAGGGGCTGCATTTAGCTCAGTGGCAGTGTGCCTGCTTAGCAAGCACAAGGTCTTGAGTACGATTCCCAGTACTGGGGGAAAAATGCACAAATCGTATGCTAATAAATGCCCTGTGCAATTGCCACAGATTCCTCAACAGCCAGGTGCCTCCCCCAGGAAAGACCACCTGTGAGATATGTCATTAAAAGATCTGAATTATGACAGCAGATCTTTGAGCGTTTCTGTGGTATTATGCCTGGGTGTTGTTTTCCTAAAACTTTCAAGGAATTTTCCAAGTTATACTTTGGTTCACAACGAGAGCAGACAACGACATTAAGAAAGCCAGGCTCAAAGCTGAAATAGCTGGGTTTGTTCCAAGTGTGCAGCTATGCAAACTTACACAAAGCAGGTGAAGGTAAACCGAGTTTGTCTTCAGCAACAACACACAAATGCTTTCATGTGCAGTCTATCTGTTCTCTCTCTCTCTCTCATGTAGTCCATTCTCACCTTAAGAAAAATTCTAATATATAAACTCACGTAAGGTAACAAAACCGCCTAAACCACACAGAAGACCTACTCGATTGTTAAGAGTACAAGACCATTCAACAGCCTGACTTGTATCTTTAGCCAGGTATGAGGCTGTGGGAAAGTCTATTAACTAAATACACCATCCAACTGAAGACAGAGCTCTCTGACATTACAATGGAATTTCAGTGGGCAGGGATTGTTTCATTCACTCAAGGTAGTTCTAGTTGCTGAGGACGGAGGAGAAAATCGAAGACACGAGAATATTTAATCTTAAGTCCAGATTCTAATGGTGGGTGCCCTCGTAAAGCAAACAACAAGGGAGTGCAACATACGGCGTGATACTGTGTTGGGGAGAAAACAACGCAGGACAGGGAGCCAGAAAAGTCGGAACCTAATTCAGTACCAGGGGTTCAGGAAATGCTCCTGTGACGATGTTAACATCGAGAGTTCCCAGGAACTGAACTTAAGTGTGTGCCGAAGGGCTTTCCAAGCAAAGGCAACGGATGAAGTTCCATAGCCCCCGACAGGAATGAGGTTTTATGTAGATATTGGGGGGGGGG